AAGAGAGTGAGAGGGAGGGAAAAAGAGGGAGAGGGAGAGAGAAAGAGAGAGGGAGAGGGGTGGAGGGGGAGGGAGAGAGGGAGAGAGAGAGGGAGGGAAAAAGAAAAAGAGGGAGAAGGAGAAAGAAAAAGAGGGAGGGAGAGAGGATGAGAGAGGGAGGGGGAGAGAGAGAGGGAGAAAAGGAGAGGGAGGGAGGGAGAGGGGGGAACGAGAGAAGGAGAGGGAAGGGAAGGAGGGAGAGGGAGAGAGAGGAGGGAAAAGGCAGAGGGAGAAGGGCAGATAGGCTCCAGACCGTGCCCACAGTGACCCTCCTCTTCTGACAAGATCCCACCCCGAACAGCACGGTAGCTGTAAACTCCTCGTGGCCTTACCTCTGGTGAGTATGGAGCCCCTGTGATCCACTCATCCCCCAGAATCCTCGCCTGTGAGTACATGTGGCACTGGGGACTGTCTTGGTTACTTTTCTGTCATTGCTGAGACAAAATACCTGACACCCACTATTAAGTAAAGAAAGGTTTATTTAGCTCACCGTTTGTGGAGGTTTCAGTCCATACCGGGCTGGCTCCAAGGCAGAGTGGCCCATGGCAGAGGGCAACTGTTCATGGCAGTGGAACACAGTAAAAGCAACAAGTGCAAAAGGGCCAAAGGGAGGACCGGCAAGCAGCCTCTTTCCCTCCCTTACATTGTGTGCAAACTACCCGCCCAGGGCAGACGTGGCAGTCACACTAATAATCCCAGCACTGGACCATGGATCAATCACAAATCCTAGAAGCCCGCCCCATGACTGCATGAGGATTTGGGGGGACATACAGACACAAACCATAACAGGGACATTTCCATAGAAACGATGACAGAGGTGTGTTATGTATATTTGAGCAAATATGCTTTAACTTTCCCCCTGGTTTTTGAAAAAACATACACAGTACAAAATAGTACTGTGTATGGTACCGTGCAGTTTATGTGGGTCCCTCCTGGTCTGCCCCTGGCTTTTTGTAGCATGGCAGAACCTATAAAGAGCATCCTCATTCTCTTTTTTTATGGCTGTGGGATGTTCAGTTGTTTGATTGTACGGAATTCACTTAGCCAGGCCCCCACTGACTACCAGGACGTGTGGGTAGTTTTCCAGTCTTTGGTTTTTATAAGCACGGCTGCAAAGAATAACTTTGTCCATACATCATGCTGCCTATGTGGGAGTGGATCTGTCGCCTGACTTCCTAGAAATGAATTTGCATTTGTAACCGAGGGGTTTAGCCAAATTGTCCTCCACCAGTAACCTGCGTTGCCTACAACCTTATGAAAGCTGTGTGCCGACCAGAAGCCTTTTGATCTTTGCTAAGCGGGCAGGGGAATGGTGTCTTGCTGTATTTTAAGTTTGCATTCCTCTCATTAGAAGTGAATGTGAGCAGCTATTTACGTTTTAGCAGGAAGAACTCAGTCTCCTTTAAAAGCTTTGCTGTCGGCAATTGTTTTCAAAGTGTAGGAAAGGACCCATTTCTTTTTATTTTCACTCTGTCTCAGACCAGTATTTTTGTACCATAAAAAGAATCACTAACAAAATGGACTAAAAACCCAAAGGTAAATAAAACACAAAACTTAATTTTTTTTTTTTGAAAGTGGGAATTGAACTCAGGACCTTGCACTCGCCAGGCAGGCGCTTTGCCACTGAGCTGTAACCCAGCCCAAACCTCAATTTGTTCTAACCAAACTCGGCAGGTAGAACATGGTTCTCTCCGCCCGTCGTATGTATGTGTTTGCAGTTTCCAGCTTAGCTCCCAGGGGAGTGTCAGTGCTCTGAGTAGCCTGCTGCCAAGGCCTCCTTGCCCATCGCTTTGTTACCACGGCCGCTCTATTTGGGGTTGGGGGCGAGAGCACAGCGTTTGTGTTTCATGTCCCACAACCAGTGCGTTTTGGGATGTTTTCCTCACGGTAGATTAGAGTTTCTCTGATGTCACAGTGTTCATGGTTTCCAAGAGCAGGGATTTCCCCGGACTCGTGCAGAAGTAGTGAGTCCTTCGGTTCTCCCTGTGGTGTGAGGAGTGGGGCTGGGGCGGTGTTTCTCCCCAGTGGAAGACCTTGAGCGTGGATGGGGGTGGGAGGCTGGGGGGAGTGTGGGAGGCTGAAGTCATGGGGTGGTAAAGTTCGCGGAGCTGGCCTTGTTGACCCGGGACTTGGCCAGGATCCACATCCCCACACGGCCTCTCTCTAAAGCCGTGGCGAGGGGACCCCAGGGTGAAGGAGGAGGTTTAAGGACATTATCACACAAGAGGTGTACTGGTGGCTTTGTAGGACACTAGCTTGCTGAGGTCAGTTACTGTGGGTAAGTGTGTCTTCCTCCACCTTCAGCTGCAAAGCAGACTTGGGCCAGTGCTCTTGGTTCTGCTTCTGAGCCGAAGTTTACCTCTGCATCAGGATTTCATCGTGTTTTCTCTAAACTGGACAGTGGTCTTATCACCCAGAGCCTTGGGCTTTACTGTTTCTTCTTGTAATGACTTCAGACTCGTATACAGTCAGGGGTCCCAATGTCGGCTTTCTTCTGCAATGGGTGTTTTGGCTTCTTGTTAGTGATTATCAAATGAAGTTACGTTGAGCTTTTTTCTGAGTTTTTTCCAATATAAAGGATGGAAATACAGGTGTCCCGGTGTGGAGTAAAATGCCCTTCGCCTGTTTGTGAACTGCCGGGCCCCTGGCCCTGAGCGGAGCAGCTCTTCCAGCAGTGGTTGGGGTTGTGGAGTAATGGTCACCGCCGACTGCTGCTTCATACTCAAGCTTGACCTCGGCAAGTGACTTCCACTGCATTTCTTTTCCTCCACTTGTGAGGTGTGGGCAGCGTGACCCACCGGTGACTTAGCTGGAAGGCAGAATTCTGCTCAGTGTCACCCAGCGCGCGGACTCGGACTTGCTGACGCAGCAGGTCCCGGCTCCATAAGCCCTGTGGGTGTGTGGCCAGGGCTTAGATAACGTGTGACAGCCAGCAGCAGGGGCGGCATGCTCAGAAACAGTCCCAGCTCTGTCCAGTCCCTGTAGCTGCCCTTAGGAGTTACTAAAATTATCAGTGGGAAAGGTGCGTCCTCTTCATCTGTGGTTAAGAGCTCGGACTCTGGGAACCTGATGACCTCGGTTTGAATTCTGGCTCTGCCCTTAATGGCTGGGTGAGCTTGGCAGCCTCCCTCCGTTTTTTGTTTTCCCCCCCCATGTGTAGAGTGGATAGATGAAGACTGATCTGTCCTGGTTACTGGGCAGGATTAAGCGCATACATGGAGGTGAAGCTGTCTGAACAGGGAGCGGCACGTGCCGCCCGCCCTTCCCATGTTGCCCGAGTGTATCCAGTCAGCAGGTTTACCCGGTGCCTTCTCTGTGCCAGATGCTCTGCTGGGCACTGGCCGGCGAATCCCACGTAACTGCTGCCCGCACGGTGTTTCTGATTTCGCGTACGTGCTCACAAGCTTTCCTGTAAAGGGCCAGATACAAATATTTAGGCCGTAACATCTCTTTCACAACTGTGCAAGTCTGCTGTGGCATTGTGAAAGTAGCTGCCGGGAGTAAATTGGTCAGTCACTGCTGTGTCCAGTAAAACTTCATTTACAAAGTCACGTGGTGGGTCGGACTCGACCCACGGGCTGTAATCTGCAGACCTGCTGTGGTCTGGCGGAAAGCCAGATGTTGGATCGTCCCACAGGGAACACACCGACTGTGTGCGAGGGAGCAGAGGGGAAGCGCACGGAAACTGTTGCTGAAAGGGAGGGAGGGTGAGCCAGGCAGAGCGCCCAGAGGGGCTGGGAGGAGCGAGAGCCTGGCCTGGGAGGTGCAGTCGAGAGTCTGCATCACCGCTGCATTTGTGTCCTTCAGAGGCACGACAGATACTCTGTACCTTTCCTCGGATAAAGTTTTTTCTCTGTAATTCGTGCCAGTTCTTTCCTCCCCTGCCCTCTCGATAGTCCCACACTGGAAGGTACACTGTTGGTATAACAGCACGTTTTGTTCTGCGTATTGATAGTGTTTCTGTCTCTGTGTGTTCCACCATTTTTGTTGTATAATTGTCGGTATCTATGTATGAATTTAGAAGTTGAGAATTAAGAGTGCACCTTATTTCACTGTTAGGTGTAAAGTGATTTATTCCGTAGATTTTATTTTTGCTCTTTAACAGATTTTTCTTTTTGGAAAACTTAGCATTCTTTGCTTCTGACTGGACGGAAACAGCCCTTGCAATGGCTGTCGGGAAAGACCTCGTCCGCGTGACGCTTCGTGTCTCGTGTCTCGCTTCCCCCAGCCCCGTCGCACTACACGGCTGCTGGCGAGGAGGGCGCCTCGCTCCCGTCCTCGGCGTGGCTCTGAGCGAGGGGTGCTCCCGGAGACTCGGTGACCCGCCCGTGTGTTCTCCAGTTCTGGCGGTGCTGCCTCCTGAGAGGCGGTGCTGTGTCGCGGCGGGGGCACAGGTTCTGGAGCCGGACTGCGCGTTCAGAGCCGGTTCCACGACTTCGTAGGCGTGTAAACTAGGGGAAAGTTAACTCTGCCTCGTTTTACTTCTGAAATAGGGACAGTAATGACATCCACCTCCCAGGATTGTTGTGAGGGTTCAGTAAAATGTGCATAAAGTCCTTAGGAAAGAGATCGTGCCCAGCAGCAGCTATTTATTAGTATATGCGCGCTGAAGACGCGCAGTAACAGCTGTTTGTGAGTCATATGTTGTTGTTGTTAACTACAGCGGAGCCCACGGTGGCCCTAATTCCGCTTTGACCACCCCTGAGCCCCCAGACCTAGAGCTGTCGCGCCTTTATTTGCTGTCTTTCACCGTAAGGCTGTGAAGCGGCCTTAACATCAGAAGTCTAGGAATACTAGTCCCTTTGAAAACTAGTTAAGTAGTATTGTAACAGTTATAAGTAGTCTTTTTCTTCTTTTTTTTGGATAAGCAGTCTTCTGGACGTGGACATAAAAATGTAGTTTCAGTGGCAACATTTACCACTCCTGTCGTCTGTTGTGACTCATGCTCTGTAATTAAGGACCGGCTCTGTATGTGGATGTCATCTCTACCAGTTGTCTTTGGCCTTTCTTGGGTCCCCTCATGCTTTGTACAGAGCTGCGTGTCTAGGAAGGCCTTGGGAGATCTTGGGCAGGTAAGTTTCCTTGTCTGGGCTGGGCCTTTTCATCTGTAATTTGGTCAAGCTGGCCTCCAAGGACGCTTCCTGGCTTGGGTCGTTTCTTGTAGGCACGCCCCTGCTGTGCTCATGTTCTCATTGTTCCTGAAAGGCCTCTCCATTGTTCCGATTATTTCCTTCACCTGGGCAAGAATTTTTCTTCATTTCTGTCCCCCCGGGAGGAGCTCCTGGCTTGCTTTCCTTTTGAGTTGCTTTAGAAATGATTTTTAAAAGGGCTTTCTATACTGTCGTGTGCATTTATGATTCATCCTTCCTGGCTTGTTGTTTGTTCTGTGTGTTGGTAGCACCCTTGGCAGTCATAGAACTGCCTTCAGAGGTGCTTTGAGAACCTAACATTACAGTCTTCTTGTTGGAACTTGTCCCAGATCAGAGTCTATTTTTAATAAATTTGGCTGCATTGTTTTTCAAAGGTTACCACTTTTTTTTTCCGGTGGAAATAAGAGCTTTGTTTCGTACACTTCCGGACCCTGATTCACCCTCTGACTACGAGGTTTGCTCACCGCCTGGTCGTGTAGCAGCACTTCAGGGCGCCTCTCCTCTTGCCTTTGCTGCCACTGCGCTGGCTGCTGGCAGCAGGAGCGCGGGCCCCGGGCTCCGCGCCGCGCACGCGCGCCGCCGTCTGTGTAGTGCTGTCGCGTTTCCAGTTTTGCTTCACTTGCTCTGCTGCCCTTTGGAGTCGGCAGGCTGGACGTCAGGAACTCGATCTCAGCCCGGAAACTGACTCCTCAGAGGTGGGGTAACTACGATCAAAGGCAGATAAACACTGGTAAGAAGAAAGGGCAGACACAGCTCAGGTGTGTACACTGTGGACCTCAGGTGACTTCACCGTAGAGCATTAGTTTACCACATTTTTGACAGAAAAATAATACATGCTCATAGTAAAAAGTTCAAAGAGTTGCAAATATAAAAAGAAAAGCCCTTTCACAACATTTTCATCTCCCAGCCTTACTTTCTTCCTGCCTTCCTTTCTTTCTTCCTTCTTCCCTCCCTCCCGCTCTTTCTTTTTTCTTTTTTTTCTTTTTGTTACTAGGAATCAAACTTAGGACCTTGTGCTTGCCAGGCAGGCACTGTGCCACTCAGCTATATGCCTGGCCCCTCTTTCTGTCTTTAAAATCTAAACATCTTGATATGTAGTCAGTCTAGGCTGGCCTTGAACTCACTTTTGTAGCCCAGGCTGACCTCAAACTTGTGGCACTCCTCCTGCCTCAGCCTTACAAGTGCTGGGCTTATACACACATGTGCCACCACACTTGACCCCAACTCTACTTTCTGATATCAGTGACACCTGCTAATAATTTCTCAAGTGTTAACTGGACATAGTGGTGTGTGTTTTGGTTCCAGCTACTTGAGAGGCTGAGGCAGAGGATCACTTACACCCAGGAGTTCTAGGCCAGCCTGTGCATCATAGCGAAGACCCTATGCCAACACCTCTGCGTCAGAAAAAGAAACTCTAATAATAATTTCTGAGGTGTTCTCTGAGGGATTTCTGTGAAACCGTAGACCCAGAGTACAATGACCTGGTGTGCTTTGCTCAATAAATGACATTGCCAAGATTGTCCTCAACACACTGTTATCTGTACCATGTTTTCGCTTAACAGTGTATCTTGGGCAGATTTTCACAGCAGTACTTACAGGGTATATTTACTTTGAAAAACACCCAGCTGGGATTCCATCATACGCATTTCCATAATTATTTAATGAGTTTAAATTACTCCTAATTTTTTCTGTTAATAATTCTTGCTGCAAGAATCATGGAGATATTGACTGCTGGGTGTTCCCTCAGTACCCATTTTTTCATTTCTAGTGTAAGAGAAATTTTACCTGCTCACAGGTCCTGTGGTAAAGATAGCCTTTGCCAGACGCCCTTGCAGCTTGCTATGGCCGTGTGACTAATTAGTCTCTAGCCAGCAGGGATAAATGCAGAGGTAAGGCGTGGAGCATCCACGAGCACCCCTGAAAGGGAGCAGGGTCCCTCCCTAGTTTTCTTATTTCTTCCTTGCAGAGATTATTTAATAGTAGGAGCAAGAGGAGCCATTTTTATTCCAAAGTTAGAATTGGACTCGAGCACAGTAGAGCAACAAGACAAGGGGAGCTTGGGTCCCCGGCCCTGCAAGACCCGAATCCTCTCAGCATGTACGTGAAAGAGGCAAATTTGTAAGTTGTTTAAGTTACACTTCCAGTATGTAGCCCTTGGTACAGTCTCTGCATTTCTTCCCATCTGTATGAAAATATGTATGTAAAAAAGTAGAACTGCAGAATGGAAAGATTTGGTCATTTAAAGTATTGATCGATACTGTCTAATTAATCTTTAAGTGCTCATCTTCATTATTATCTCATGAGACATTCTTTGTCATGTGTGTCATTTAATCATGCCAGCATTTACATTTAACATATTTTCCTCCCAAACTGTTAAAGATGCAAAGATTCACATTACCCAAGAAAAATGCGTGTGAAACAAGAATTTGGTTCTAAATGTCAATTTCAGTAACATTCTGTATCCATAGAAACCATTTTCTGAAGTGTGTCTGCAAAAGGGAGTGGGGAAGGTGGTGGAGGGTACCACTCATGCCTCACTGATCAGTATGGAGGGAGAAAACACACACACACATACACACACACACGAATGTCCAAATTATCATGCACACTGTAGGTACTCGGGCAGCTCCAGCCATCCATGTCAGTGCATCCATCCAACCATCTATTCAGCCTGCAGTTACTGGGGTCCTATTGTCTACGTGTCACTGAAAATTCTAGTATTGGAAGGTCGGCTATGATTTTTGCTTCACGATGTATATGGTGTAGGGCAGTGGCGGGGAACCTATGGTACGTGTCTTTTTTGTTTTTCCATTAAGACAAAAGATGTTAATGCATGAGTTGTTTTTTTTTTTTTTTTTAACTAAAACCTCTATTTAGGTTTAGTTGCAGTGTTGGCATTTTGTGATAAGTGGGCTTGGGGTTGCAGTTTGGGCACTGGTCTCTAAAGGTTCACCATCGCTGCTTTAGGGGCGAGGCCGGATCTTAATAACATAAGTAACAACTAGAATATATGGAGAAAGCACACTGGATGCTGAGTGGGGGGCTGAAGTTGGGGAGGAGGTCATCCTCATTCCTGTGACTGCTGTAGAAAGAAGTACCATAAGCTTAGAGCTTAAAAAGGCAATCTTACCCTGCTGAAGGTCAGACGTTGTGAAATCAGAGTGTGGCCAGGTTCATGCCTTCCTGGGGCTCTGGGGAGGATTCTGCTTCCTTACCGCTTCCTCCTGTTCCTGCAGGCGCTTGCACTCCGGGGCGCAGGGCCCCTTCTGCCGTCTCCCAGGCTGGCTCGTAGCGTCTCTTACCTCTGACCTGTTTCCATGTCGCATTTCCTCACTGGTTCTGACTGCCCTGCTTCCCTCCCTCCCACGAGCACGCTTGTGCTCATGATCCCACCGAGGAACCAGGGTAAGTGTTCCATATCAAAAGCCTTACTTCAGTCACCTCTGCAGAGTCCTTCTGGTCCTGTGAGGTCACATGGCCATGGGTTGGAGATGGGACATGGCCGTCTGTGGAAAGGGCGTTACTCGGTGTCTCACCGCCTTCATAAAGAGGTGGGCCGTGAGGAATTCCCCGAGGAGCCGGTCTGTAAACCGGCTTGCACGGTGGTAGTACAGAGACGAGGGAGGGGCACTGGAGGTACCTGGGGACAGGATGGTGACCCTGGGCTTGGGTAAGTGGCAAGGTGAGATTGGGAAGGGCGGTAAGGATCCTGGCAGGTTCAAAGCAGATTGGTGTGTTTTTTTGCTTTTGTGGTTCGGGGGCTCAAGCCCAACGTCTTGTTGATGCGAGGCAAGCTCCACCTTGGAGCCGCGTCCCCAGCCCAGATGTGTTTAAAGCGAGCAGTGTGCCCCGGCGTTGGCAGAGGGGTTGGAGGTAGAGAGCACAGACACTGGAGGCTGGGCGGAGCGGAGGTGATTCAGCGGACAGGTGCCTGCAGCCTGGCCTAGCGGGTGGCAGACACAGCTGACGGAGCAGGGAATGGCGAGGTTTCAGGAGGGCAAATCAGCAGGGCATGTGATGTGATAGGTCAGGGTAGAGCACAGCAGGGCGTGCCGGGCCTGACCCCCAAGTTTCTGGCGTGAGCCAAGAGGAGGTTGGTGCTGTCTTTAATTTACTAAGTGGGAAACGCCAGAGGAGGGAGAGCTCCGACTGGGGAGATGGATTTTGAGGACTGTGGGGCGAGCGAGTGGGGATACCTCCATCCACTCGGCGTGCAGCGCAGGCGTGAGGTGCAGGTGCAGTGGGGAGTGGTTGTAGCAGCTGCTGGTTGAGTAGGTGCTGCCTCGACCTCAGAGAAAAAAGGCAAAGGCAGGGGTTGGGAGCCTCCCTGTTTAGGGTCAGCTGATGAGTGAATTAGTACCATCCGATTTTCCTTTTGGAAGGAAATGTATCCACCATCCTAGGGATTGGGGCAAGGGTATCTTTGGGAGACATTATCTGCCCGTGTACAGATGATCGTGAGCTGCCTCTTGATGCTTGTGGTCAGTGATGGGCCTTGTAGGTGACAGTGGTCGCCTACGAGTGTGATGGAGCTGAAGCTTCCTACCACCTGGTGTCACGCTTGTAGCATGACCGTGTGACCCATACTGGTGCTGTGGGAGAGAGACCTGCCAGCCATACGGAGTGGAGCATACATAGTTACTCATGGCACAGACACTCGGTGACAGTAATAAACGTCACTGGTTCCTGTGTTTGTCCCATCGTCCTCCTTATTTTGGGGTATGTCCCTTCTCCTTACATAGAAGCGTCACCGTAAACAGTGTGCCGTGTTATGGGAACAGCCTCGTGCAGCTCACGCGTGCTTCATGGTTTTGGTTTTGCTTCTGTAAGACCAGGTCTCACTGTGTGGTCCAGGCGGGCCCTGAACTCAGGTCATCCTCCTGTCTTCATCTCCCAAGTGCCGGGCTTAGAGCTGTGCGCCT